TCTGGCGGCTCACAACCTTATGTAAATCTAGCTCCAAGGGGTCTGAAGTCATCCTCTGGCCTCTGTGAGCATATGCACATACTTGCAGTCAGATACACACAAGAATATCTTTTTTAAAAAAGCCATCCCTTCAGGTCTTGTAAGATTTACAAAAACGGGCTGGAGAGATGGCTCAGCAGTTAAGAGCACTTGCTACTCTTGCTGAGGACCTGGGTTTAGTTCCCAACACCAACAAGATTAGTGGCTCACACACAACCTTCTATAATTTCAGATCCAGGTGGTTCTAATGCCCTCTTCTAGTATCTGCAGATACTGCATATGTATCGTATACATACATGCAAGCAAAATGCATACAAATTAAAATAAATATTAGTTTTAAAAAGATTAAAACAAACAAACAAATGATCTTAGTCATGTGTGGTGGTACATACCTATAATCCCAGCATTCAGGGTGAGGCAAGAGAATCTTAAATTATGAGTTTGAGGACAGCCAGCTTTATAAAGCAAGTTGTAGACCAGCCTATTGTGCCACATTGTGTTATCTTGTATCTGAACAATCAAAGAAATAGTCAGATGGCCACTGTGACATTTAAAAGATGAAGATAATTTGAGATAGCCTAAATATCTTGGTGCTGGGTGTGGTGGTGTGTACCTTTAATCCCAGCACTCCCCGGGGAGGCAGAAGCAGGTGATTCTCTCTGAGTTCAAGGCTAGCAGGGTCTACATAGCAAGTTTGAGGCCAGTCAGCTACATAGTAAGACCCTGTCTCAAAATGAATAAATTACTTAAAATCTGTCATAAATAAAACAGTATCAATTTGGGAGAAAACATGTAATGAATGACAGGGAAATGTTTATCAGTGAGTGTCCTTTAAAACACAAGGTAGGGCTGGAGATCCATCAGAGTGTCTGCATGGTGTATTCACAGTCCTACTGTCTGTCCTCAATGTCACAAAGCAAACAGCAAACTAGCCATGGTGTTAGGACAGGATAGGTACTAAGAGTTATAGAAACAATTAGATCCAGTTTAGCAATTCAGTAGGGCAAAGGAGAAGGAATTCATGAAATTGCACTGCCAGAAGTAATCATTAGCAGTTGAAGGCATACATCATACACAGTCTTCTACAGAAGTAGCTTATGCTATAGAGACTTCTGGGACTCGATGGTATTATAATGCAGATACACTGTGGGCTGGCAGACTAGCTCCCTGAGGAAAGGCACTTGCTATGCACGCCTAATGAACTGAGTTTAAAGGTGGAAGTAGAGAACCAACTCCACAAAGTTGTTCTCTGGCACCCTGCCACACAAATCATAAGAAGTAAGCCTTAAAAAGGAAGATAAAACAAAACTGAAATTAATAGGGCCAGTGAAATGGATCAGCAGGAAAAGATGCTTGCCATCACCAACCTGACAGTTGGAGTTCCATCAAAGAGCCCATGAGGTAGATGGAAAGAAATGACTCCTGCAGGCTGTCCTCTGACCTCCACACACACACAACATGGTACATGTGTGCACACACATAGCCAAAAAATAAATATTATTTTTGTCCTAGTAATTATCCAGGCATGGTGGCATATACCTTTAATCTCAGCACTTGGGAGGCAGAGGCAGCCAGATCTCTGAGTTTAAGGCCAGGTTGGTCAGCATAGTGAGTCCTAGAACAACCAGGGTTCCATTGGTAGACCCTGTATCTAAATGAATGAATGAATAATAAAATGAAATCCTAGTACTGAATACATATGTAAACACACTTGAGTATCAGCCTTTACTTACAAGCTGTTAGAACTTAGAATCTAATTGTTTGTACATGTTTTCAAAGCAAAAAAGATAATCTGAACCAAATGATGAAGTTCTGAGAATACATAATGAAATTCATCTTATGAAACTAGTAGAATAAATTTGTAATGCTGGGTGAGTATATTTAATATAAGCAGACCTTGTTTGAGAATATGCCCTAAAGCCAGTGTAGGGGACGAGCCCCCACACTTATTTACCCCAGGAACTCTTGGGGATTGAGGGATAAGAGACTTAAAGAGTTAAGCAGAGAGAAAACACAGGATAGACTCGGGTGGGCCTGGATCCTTATCCACCAGCCCAGAACTGTATTCCAAAGGACTATTTATAACAATGCCAAGGGGTGGAGCAAAAGGCCTTCCCCTTGCTAGTTACAGTCACCTGGTACCCAGGCCCATGGTCTAGTCAACCTCTTATGCAGCCCTGCTGGGTACAGCCACTAGGAAACCTAGTGGGCTCCAACAAGCCAGAACAGTGGGGGGTCCTGGAGTACATTGAGGCCTTAACTGATTTTGGGTGCATATTTTAATCTCTGTGTATACAACATGTATGTGTTTATTGTGTGAGTGGCGACATGTCCATGCCATGTGTGCATGTGGAAATGAGGACAGCTTTGGGTATCAGTCCTCGACTTTCATTTGAGATGGGGTCTCTTAACTGTTACTCTGCACACATCAGGATCGCCGGCCTGCAGTCTTCCCAGGATTCTCTTACCCCACCTCTCAGCTCACTGCAGGAGCACCAGGTTTACAGATCACCACCATGCCAGCCTTCCCTGGCTTCTGTGACTCTAACTCAGGTCCTCACACTTGTGCAGCAAGTGCTTTACACACCGAGCCCCCTCCCGAGCCCCTAATTGCATAAACAGTTGGTCATTTCATGATCTAGATTTGACATTTACCTTTTCTTGACATACAGGCAAGCAGTCCTTATAGCATTGTTGGTGAAGGTTGGCGTTATTTCGGAAAAGCGTACGTGGGAATGGCAGAGTGCGGAAGCTGTGGCCACAGGCCTGCAGGTAAGTAGTGCTGTCAATGAATCAAGGGGTTTTACTGTTTACGCTGTTTGACACAGTGATGCCCCAAACGTACAAACAGTGAGCAAGACTGTTAGCTTACTCCATGGTGAGGAGCAGGAACCCTAGAGAAATGGCCCATAGGTACTGATTGGTAATGGTTTTATTCCTGGTCCACATATATCTGCACATTTCCTTTCAGTCCTTGGGGAACAGATTAAGAAATATTTGACTGAGGGAGGGCAAAAGAGATGTAAATCTTGGCTTGTCATGTTTTGAAGTAGAAAACATAATGTTGAAAAATGAATATAGCCAGGTGGTGGTGGTGCACACCTTTAATCCCAGCACTCGGGAGGCAGAGGCAGGCGGATGGATCTCTGTGAGTTCAAGGCCAGCCTGGGCTACCAAGTGAGTTCCAGGAAAGGCACAAAGCTACACAGAGAAACCCTGTCTCGAAAAACCAAAAAAAAAAAAGAAAAGAAAAAAGAAAAATGAATATAATTTGGATTATATTTAAAAAAGTTGACACCCTAAGTAACTTTGAAAATGTTAGCAGTTTGAAAAACTAGATTTAAAGCCAAAGATGTTTGATATTTTCTTGGCTGTTGTAGGATTTCATAATCTGCATCGAAATGTTCCTTGCGGCCATTGCCCATCATTATTCGTTCTCCTATAAACCCTACGTGCAAGAGGCAGAGGAAGTCTCTTGCTTTGACTCTTTCCTGGCTATGTGGGATGTGTCAGATATCAGAGATGACATTTCTGAACAAATAAGACGCGTGGGTAAGTAACAGCTGTTTAACTTTGGTTAGTGTGGTTGTGTATATAGCGGGGGTGGGGGTTGTCTGTATGTGCATGTGGGGTCAGAGGTGAACCTCAGGTGTGGTCCCTCAGGAGCTGTTCAGCTTGGGTTTTGGAACAGGGTCTCTCACTGTCCTGAGGCTCACAGATTGAGCTAGGATCACTGTCCAGAGGCCCCAGGGATCCAACTCTGTCTCGCTAGCACAGGACTGCAAGCATGCCCAGCTTGGGACCTGTGCTGAGGACTGGATCAGGTCTTCATTCTTGTGTGGCAAGCACTTTACAGACTGAGGTATCACCCCAACCCAAATACGTAAGATTTACTCTAGTAATTTAAGAAATAAGAACATATTTAAAGCAGTACCATGATACAGGCTCTTCAAATTTGGGGAGGACAAAGCAGAACTATTTTTAGAATGGTAAAAATAACTTTTGGCTAATAAATTTATATTGTCTTAAAGGGAGAACAATGAGAGGTTACCCCAAAAAAAATTATTTTCCTGAAGACTCGGAGCATACTGAACACACAAGTCTGCTTTCCTCATCCTCACAAGATGCAGTTTCTGCAGGTTCAAAGCCATCCTCACCCCTGGGCCAATATCAGGGCTTTGGACACACAATTACTTCACAGAGTGCAGCTGCTGCTTCCAAGCTAAGTGAACACATTGTGAGTGATGTCCCAGAAGAGCAGGAACCTCCTGATACAGGCCAACATCAAGACTTCAAAGACACAGTTACTTCACAGGATACACTTTCTGAAGCCAAGCTATGTGAAGATATCATGACAGTTATCCCTGAAAAGCATAAGTCCCCTGACCCATCAATGGACTCTTAAAGCTACCACAATCCTCTCTGAGGCAGGATTGCCTATTCAAAGCTGGGCAAAAACCAGATATAACTACTATATATAATATACACATGCATATAATACTAATACGCACATGTTAGTATATATATATATTTGTATATGTTTTGTATATCACAAATAACATTTAAATTTCCTAGGCTTTGGCTTTCTTAAACTGTTAGGATATCATATATTCAAACAGTAGGTAACAACTTCAGCTGAACACTCTTGCATTTCTCAAGAGGATGGACATTTAAAAAAAAAAAAAATCAGTGCTTCTTACCACTGCATGAATGTAATGCTCTGGACTGAAAACTGTAAATTTAAGATTAATTTAATTTAATCATAATCATGTGCCATTTAAGTTTACATAATTATACTTCAATTACATGTCTTTCAACAAATGCAGTACCATTTTCTGAAACTCTTACATATCTTTTACTCTTTTCTTTTTTTATTTCTCTTTCTCTCTCTCTCTCTTTTTTTTTTTTTTGAGACAGGGTTTCTTTGCATATCCCTGGCTGTGCTGGAACTCCCTCTGTAGACCAGGCTGGCCTTGACTCACAGAGACCAGCCTGCCTGTGCCATCTGAGTGCTAGGACTATAAGCATGCACTACCACCAACCTGGCTGTGAGTTACTCTTTAAACATAAATTCTTAATGTTTTAGCAAAAATTGTTTGATTAGAAGTCCACATGTTTTTTTATTTTTGAGCTAGACTTAATGGTGTACACCTTTAATCCCAGCATTCAGGAAGCAGAGGCAGGCGGCACTTGATGAGTTCCCCAGTCTGGTCTAGGCCAAAAACAAAAACAAAACACTGGTCAAAGAATCAGAAAATGAAGCTAAATGGAAGGATACCCTGTGACTCAGAATAAATCTTATCAGAATGTCCACACTACCAACAGGAAGATATAGATCCAATGTAACGTCATCAGAATCCTAGTGGCATGATTCAGGCAAAGAACAGCCCTAAAATTCATATAGAAATATTTTTAAAAAGGTCAGACCACTTCTGAGGAAAATTGGACACATGGCATTTCCTGATTTGAAATACAAGCTGGGTGCCATGGTTCAAGCCCCTGTCATCCCGCATAGGAGGTTGAAAAGGGTCATTTGAACCCAGTGTTTGAGATTAGCCTGAGCACCATAGCAAGAAACACACACATACCCCACACCTCAAGAAAGAATTGTTACAGAGCCTCAGTGGTCAACAGTGTGGTGGGCTGGAGAGTTTGCTCAGTGGTCAAGAACATTGGCTGCTCTCCCAGAGGACCCAAGATTGATTTCCAGCACCAACATGGTAACTCAAAACCATTTGTAACTGTAGTTCGGGAAATTTAGTGCCCTCTTCTGACCAGCTCAGGCACAGGCATGCACACTGGTGCACAGGCATGTATACAGGCAAAACACATAAATAAAAATGTTTAAAGGAAAAAAAGTGTGACGCTAACAAAAACCAGACAAGTAGAACAAAATAGAAAGTCAGAATAATTGCTGACAAGAGCACCTAGTGGGCACACTAAGAAAAAATAGCTTCCATCCAGGGATTGTCCCAAGAAGTCTGGATTCCACATCCCAGAGAATGAAACCGGACCCTTATTTTACACCAGACACCAAAATCAACTCACTGTGCAAGGCACACAAATGTGAGACCGGTAACAAAACTAAGAGAAGGCCCTGAACCATTGGCTTTGCCAGTGACTTTCAGAACACCACACCAGAAGGTACCATGCAAGCTTCCAAAGTCCTACCCAGCTATGGCAGACCCACATCGACAACCCGCATGCCATGATGACCCTAAGGCGCAACAGCAGCATGCACACCTTGGCGGTAACCAACAGCCTAACTGGACTGAAGAGCTGCTCGACAAGAGGAAACCTGCCTGGGACTGGAAACCTGGCTAACTACTTAGTGCCAGTGATTACTGGAGGAGAATCTACAACCACTGATTTACTAAACCAGCATAATCCCTAACAACAGTCTATAAACATCTGTCCTTATAACCACAGATAAGTGTAGTTTTTACCCCTCATCAAGGAAACTTATCTGCAACAGACCATTACAGAAAACCATAGCCAAATGCAGTTGTGGAGCCCAGTCCCAGTGGACACATCTACAAAACACTCCCACACCTAAGGCTCAGGGAACATTGTGGAAGAGGGAACACATTGCAGAAGAGGGAACAAGAAGATTGTAAGACCCAGAGGATCAGGGACTTTGCTGTGAGATTGTGTCTCCTAGTAATGTCAGAAGCTACACCCCTAAAGTCTCACCAACATGACTGCCCAAATGTGAGCTGAACAAGGACAACACCAAGGGAAAACCCCACAGGCCTCAACCCTACACAAAGAACTGTAGGCAACTGAGGAAAGCTGGGAGTAGGAGAGATGGTCTTTTCCATGGAAAAGCATAATAATTAGTTGTCTAGTGCCAAATGCTCAGCTCCTAAAAACTTAAATACAGGTAGCATTATACAGACCGAGCACATTATATTTAGGAATATATATGTGTACATATATGCATGTAATAACAATGAGAAAAGAGGCCATGAATTTGAAGGAGAGCAGGGAGGGATATATGGGAGACTTTGCGAGTAGGAAAGGAAATGGAGAAATGTTGTAATTATATTCTCAAAAAAGTTAAAATATCACACCATAAGTTTAGCCCACAAAAACAAAACATGAGTGAGCAGGACTTGATCTGCCACATTCTACAACAGATGACACCTGTGCACCCACAGATTCAAACAGCCCTAGGTCACAAAGCCCTGGGAAGATGGCATTTGTGCTGGACACCGACCTTTTCTCGTCTTTGCTTTCCACACAAAACACCTACACTGTTTTACTTGCCATATCTAGAGCTCCCCTAAGGATAGAACAACTATATCCATCAAAACCTTCTACAGAGCAAAGGAAAAATATCAGTGACCTCAAGCAGCAGCCTACCTACTGGGAAAAAGACTTGCAAACAATATCTAGCTTAAAAGAAGCTAATACCTATAAAGAACTCATACAGCTCGGTAACAGAGCATCCCTGCTACAAATGAGGAAAATCCTGAACAAACATTTCAATAAAGCAGACAAAAGTGGCCAGCAAGTGCTGTCTGCTCCTTCCTGACTGTGGACATAATATGACAAGCCACAGCCGGGCGGTGGTGGCGCACGCCTTTAATCCCAGCACTTGGGAGGCAGAGCCAGGCGGATCTCTGTGAGTTCGAGGCCAGCCTGGGCTACCAAGTGAGTTCCAGGAAAGGCGCAAAGCTACACAGAGAAACCCTGTCTCGAAAAACCAAAAAAAAAAAAAAAAAAAAAAAAATATGACAAGCCACTTCATGTTCCTGCCACCACACCACAGGACTGCGTCCCTCCAGACCTTCACTCTGTCTGCACTGAGAGCTGAGCACTTGGCTCCAGCCAGGTCCCACATCAAGGCTCGCTTCCTTGTCGATTTTAGTGCAGCCCCAGCCCAGTACAATGTGAAGATTGGGCATGATCAGCAGCTGCAGGGTTACCTCAAATTAAGGCCCCTGCTGCCTCTGTGTCTCTGCAACCCAAGACACGCAGTGAACCATACTCTTGAGGAAATTCATCAACTGTCAGTCATACTGAAAACCTGGCCAGTAGAATACTTCTAGACTATGGAAGTCTTTGAAACAAAAACTCACTGGATTCAGTGACCTGGAGACCAGGATAGAGCCAGAGTCTGCTGGGGGAGCTTAGACACAAGCTCTAAACAGCATGCTGGACACTGGACACACAACAGCAGGGTCGACATTGGCCAACAGCTTCCTGGAGGCTTAACTAGAGGTGAGACCTCAGCGTCTGTAACCCAGCCTGCAAAAGGGAAGCCCAGAAGCAGGAACAGCATTCCAAACGAGATCCTTGGGGGCGGTGGGAACGACACCCAGGGCACTGTGACCAATAGCTAAGTCCTAGCCGTGAAATACCTAAGAGCATGTCAGGCTTCTGGAAACCACGGCAAACGTGCCTAGACTTGAGACTGAATCCCGACAACAGGACAGACGGCTTTCATATGGTTACCATCCAGCACTTTCACATTTATCCTGTCAGTTTGTTGTTCTAGAGCTACTCTTTGTTCCTTTCTCAAAGCACCCAGGCTCCGCTGGTTGGTGGGGTCTGTGTCAGCCTCCTAAGAGCCGGGCTGCTGTGTTATCTGATCTGTGTATCTCCCGTCTCATGCTCCTTACTCCTCTCCGACTTCTCCGCTGCACTAACACTAAACACTAGTCTCACTCTCCCTCCTTCCCCTCATACCTGGTGTCCAAGGTACGAGCAGTGCTCCTTGACTTCCTGAAAGAGCGTGTAAGGGATGGCTCATTTTCATGTGGCCGTGACAGTATTTTCACAGTTGACCTACCCTTGATAGCATTTATTGTAGCAGACACTGTTGTCAGAGGAGAACTGGGGACCAGGCCAGGGACAGCAATCTAGCAGAAGAAAACAACACCTCAACCACATCCTTATCCCTCTAACACTGCAACACTTTCACTGAAAGAATAAAGGTGATGTAATATTGGAGCCCATTTAGGCTTTATCCAGCAGGTCTGCATAAAGAGGATGACTGGACCACGGGCCCAAGTACCAGGTATCTGAGATGGTCTGCACTTGGCTGTGCTCGGGGGAGGTCTTTTGCTCCGCCCCTTGGTGTTCCTTTAAAATCCCTGGGGCAGAGACAGTCAGGCCCCGATGGATTAGGATCCAGGCCCTCCTGAGGCTATCTTGTATTTTCTGTTTCTCTCCCCTCTTTACTTCTATCTACTATTTCCTGCTGCTTCTACTCAAGAGTACTCTGTGGAAGTGGGGGGGTGGGGGTGGGTGATGGCCCCCCACAACGTAATTTTAAAAAATTTCTCCTAAGTGTACATCTGTGTACCACCTGTGTGCTTGGTGCCTGAGATCTGAAGAGGGGGTCAGATCCCCCAGAACTAGAGTTACAGATGGCTGTGAGCTATAAACAGGTGCTGGGAACCAAACTCAGGTCCTCTGCAAGAGCAACACATGTTCTTAATTCCTAGGCCATCTCCCAGTTAGTACTTTACTTTTTGTGTGTATGGATGTCTCGCCTGCGTGTAAGTCTATGCACCAGTGTGCATGCCTGGTGCCCATGGAAGCCAGAATTGTGCATCAGATCCTTGGGAACTAGAACTGTTGTGAGCTGCCATGTAGGTGCTAGGATTCGAACTCGAGTCCTCTGCAAGAACAGCCAGTGCTCTTAGCTGCTGAGTCAAGTCTCCAGCCCCATCAGCCAACAACCTAACAACAGAGGTTTAAGTTCAGGGCAAAAGCACAGGAAACTGGAATACCAAGACAATACAGCTGTGTGAAACCTACCAAACTCACAGTAACCACATCTGGTGAGAGCACATTAATGAAATCTCAAGAATCAAAAGATGATTATAAATACATTAAAAAATAAGAAGACACGAACTCCTGAATTCCAAGAGAACATGCAGAGTGAATGAAAGAAGGAGGTCAGCATAAGATATGGAAATGGAAACTAGTAAAAGACACTGAAGAAAGACCAAACAAACGGAAATGAAAATTCCAATAATTCAAATAGAGATCCGTGGAAAGATTCAGCAACACAAAGGACCATGCAGAGGACAAGAATATCAAAGCTTGAGGACAATGAGGAATTGGATGTTCATTAACAAAGATACATTAATTTAAAAAATATGCCTGGGCTGGGCAGTGGTGGTGTTGCCTTTAATCCCAGCACTTTAATCTCAGTACTCAGAGGCAGAGGCAGGCAGATCTCTGTGAGTTTGAGGCCAGCCTCGACTACAGGGCTAGTTCCAGGACAGCCAAGGCTACACAAAGAAATCCTTTCTTGAGAAACCAAATATATGTGTGTACATGTGCATGCGTGTGTGCGTGTGGGTGTGCACACTTGAAACATGCAGGAGTCATGAGGAACTATGAAAGCACCAAATCTATGAATCACGGACAGATTAAGTTTCATGTCAAAGGTGCAGGAAAATTTTCTATAAATTGCCCCAAGAAACTGCACCATATCTAAGATGCTCATACAGGTACTGGAGGCATTTAGAATACCAAACCTCCCATGTTATCTTAGTATCAAAACACTAAAAATACACAGTTGCAAAAGAAAAAAGTCACATTATAAAGACTGACTCATCAAAATAGCACATTCCTTAACAAATTATAAAAGAGGAGAGTTAAGAATGAAGTATTTCAAGGTCTGAAAGACAGTAACTTCCATCTCAGACTACTGTCCCCAGTCTGCTGATGTGAATGAAAATGGACCCCATAGACTCATAGGGAGTGGCATTATTTGAAAGAATTAGGAGATGTGGCCTTGTTGGAGTGGGTGCAGACTTATTGGAGGAAGTGTGGTGATATTTTATTTGTACTGAAATGTGACTTGTGTGTTAATAAATAAAGTTTATAAATAAAGCAAGCCATAGCGAAAGCTGGGCAGTGGTGGTGCAAACCTTTAATCCCAGCACTTGGTAGGCAGAGCTAGGTAGATCTCTGTGTGTTCAAGGATACAGCCAGCATTGGGGACACATGCCTTTAATCTCAATACCAACCATAGAAGACCTGGAGGCCTGTATAGACAGGCAGTGATGAAGCGGTCATGTGGTTGGGTTTACAACCAATGAGAAGGCAGAACAGAAACACTATAAAAAGACAGACACACAGGAAGTAGGTCTCTTTCGGAGAGGCACAACAACAGCGACAGTGAAGGGTAAGGTTTTTAGCTCTTAGCTATTGCTCTGACCTCTTGGCTTTCATCTCTGTATTGGCTCTGTGTTTCTTTTTTAATAAGACGGTTGGTTACATCTACAGAAGTGTGTCACTGGGCATGGGTTTTGAGGTTTCAGAAGCTCAAGCCAGACCCAGTGGTTCACTCACTCTTCCTGCTGCTATGGGTCAGAATGCAGAACTTTCAACTCCTTCTCCAGCACCATGCCTGCCATGATTGTCTTAGTTAGGGTTTCTATCACTGCAACCAAGCACCATGACCTAAAGGCAAGTTGGGGAGGAAAGGTTTATTAGGCTTACACTTCAGCATTGCTGTTCATCACTGAAGGAAGTCACGACAGGAACTCAATCAGGGCAGGATCTGATGCAGGGGCCATAGAGGGGAGCTGCTTATTGGCTTACTTTCCACAGCTTGCTCAGTCCACCTTTTTATAGAACCCAGGACCACCAGCCCAGGGATGACATGACCCACCATGGGCTGGATCCTCCCCCAATGATCACTAAATGAGAATATTCCTTATAGCAGAATCTCATGGAGGCATTTCCTTAACTGAGGCTCCTTCCTTTCTGATGACTCTAACTTGTGTCAAGTTGACACACAAAACTAGCCAGTACAATAATGAACTAAACCTCTGAACTGTAAGCAAACCCCAATTAAATGTTTTTCTTTATAAGATTTCTCGTGATATGGCGTCTCTTCACAGCAATAGGAACCCGAAGACAGAAGTCAAAATGCTATTGCTGTAGGGGGGAGGGGTGTATGTGCACAACACAACATGAACAGACCTGGCTTCCCAAGACTGCTAAGCCAGGTTAACAGAAGACACCAGAAAGAATTTTTTGGATTGAAGAAAATAAATACACCCAAGAGGCTATGGACAATACAGATACTGTGAATGTAGTCAAATAAATAAGATGAGAATACCAAACACTACAGAGTGACAGGATCAATGTGTATCCTCGCAATAACAACCCTGAACAGTCATGTTCCCAATTCCACAATCAAAGACACAGACCAGCCCTTTGGGGTCAAAGGAAGGATCCATTTATTTGTTGTTTCCAAGAAATGTGCCACCAGTATAAACAGATGGTACCATGAGCTGAGAGGGTGGAAATGGTGCTCCAAACAAATGGAACTATAAACAAGAGCCAGACAGCCAAAAGGTATAAGAAAAGTCATTTTATCGACAGCAACAATCTATCAAGAGGACATTACAATTCTAAACTTCTGTGCACCCATTCCATTAAACAAAACCTACTAGATGTAAAGTCAAAGAATAGAGGGTGGAAAGTTGGCTCCGTGGATCAAGTACTTGCCACACAAGTAGCAGGATAGAGTACTAAACCGCAGCACTCACAAACAAGCCAGACAGTTGTGATTTTCTGTAATCCCCAAACTCTGGAGAAGAGCCAGGATCCCCAAGGCAAACTGGCTAGATAAGACTATTCGTTACTGGTGCTCTCTGGCTTCAGCAAGAGAACACACCTCAATAAATGAAGAGTGAGAGAGACACCAGTATCAGGCTCAGCATTTGTGTATATATGTTACGTGTGCACACAAGCACATACATGCTCACATGCACAAACCACATGTAAATAAAATTTTTAAGTCAAATAAAGTCACAAATTAATCCTATTGAGAGCGGCTGGTAGCGAAAGTCCATGGAGTAAACAGCAGTGACAACTAGAGTTCAGAAGGTCAACCTATCAGAACCGAGGGTTCTGTTAGAGGAAACCATCACACGGGCATTATGGAGTTACTGCCTTTGGAATGAACTGGCTGTCTCTTGTTGTAAACCTCTTGTGTAATAACATCTATGATTCTCCCCATTTACCGTGCATCTCCATGTAATGTGTACATGTAATCTCATGACTGCATCTCAATCTTGGGCACAACTTTCCCTATACATTTGGGGTAATTGGACAGTTGTCCCTAGCTGTGCTTATTTTTACTAACATATATCTGGCCACGGCCATTCTCCAGACAAAAGTATTTCAGCAAAGATACCTTTTTCCAAAGACAAAACTGCACATAGATAAACATTAGCTCATCTCACTTACAGATAAGGGAAAATAACCACTGGCAATTAAATCCTCAACTCCTTACCTTCACCCTGGGTTATTTATACAAGACCCTAACTTAAGAGATTTACTGCTCACATTCCTGGGATGATGTTTTAGCCATTTGCTAGTTACTGAGTTAAGGCAGTTACTTCCCACTGACCCAAGGAGATTGCCATCAAGGCCAGGCTGGCATAGGTACCAAGCTTCTTTCTTGTGAAAATTAAGTTTTAACTCCTCCTCAGCCAGGTGCTATTCCTAGATTCCCTAACTGATCTTAGCCTTCAGTTGACCCTACCAGAGAACTCCCCTTCAGTCACTCCTCTTTGGGGTTGTAATTGGAAGCTGACAATTAATTGCTTTATGTGTGGGTCCTTATCACCTCTCTCTGCGACCCTGAAATCTTCAAGACTACTGTTGCTTTGCCAAAGAATTACTGCATGTGTATATATACTGGTTCTCTGAGAGCACTGGGGGAATAGACGGAGAAGAACAAAGATGAGGACGGAGACGGAAAGAACTAGATAGGGATGAGAGAACAGCAGAAGGGACTGAGAGCAGGAGGGACCGAGAGGAGCTAAGGATGAGAACAGAAAAGAAACTGTGTAGATAGAATTGACTTAGAAGAATAAAGTGAATGGACTAAAGAACTCAGTGTGCACAGATTCATTTATATCCTTCAGATTAGAATCCTCAGCCGCTTGTAGCATCTGTTCTGAACCCTGGGGGGGAAGAGAGAGAGAGAGAGAGAGAGAGGAGAGAGAGGAGAGAGAGAGGGAGGGAGGGAGAAGAGAGAAGAGAGAGGAGAGAGAGGAGAGAGAGGACAGAGAGGAGGGGGGGAGAGAGGAGAGAGAGAGAGAGAGAGAGAGAGAGAGAGAGAGAGAGAGAGAGGAGAGAGAGAGGGAGGGAGGGAGAAGAGAGAAGAGAGAGGAGAGAGAGGAGAGAGAGGACAGAGAGGAGGGGGGGAGAGAGGAGAGAGAGAGAGAGAGAGAGAGAGAGAGAGAGAGAGAGAGAGAGAGAGAGGGAGGGAGAGAGAGAGAGGACAGAGAGGAGGGGGAGAGAGGGAGGGAGAGAGAGGAGATGGGGACAAAGAGGAGCAAGATGAAAAGTAGGGAAAGCACTTCAAGATGCAGACATGGGCAAGGACTTTCTGAAGAGACTTTCGGATCACTCAGGAAGTAATGCCAACAATTAAAAATGGGATCCCATAGCTGGGTAGTGGTGGTGCACTACCATAGGATCTCTTTCTGTATGCTGTGAATGTGTGCTGCTCCCATTGGCTAACAAATAAAGCTGCATTGGCCTATGGCAGGGCAGGATGGAGCCAGGCAGGAAAATCCACGAGAGACAGTGAGAGGAGAAAAGAGAGTGTGTGCGGGGGAGAGACGCCAAACCGTCGTCCAAGGAGCAACATGTAATGGGGCACAGATAAAGCCACAGAACACATGGTGATACATAGATAATAGTCATGGGTTGAGTTAAGTTATAAGAGCTAGCTAGCAAGAAGCCTGAGCCACAGGCCATATAATTTGCAATTAATATTAAGCCTCTGAATGATTATTTTATAAGTGGCTGTGAGACCTGGTGTTAGGATCCTGTACATGCACAGCTCAGGGTCTTGCATCTTATGTCATCAGGGAGTACTGATGACTACGTACCCACCTTAAAAAGCTGGTTGCAGACCCCACGTGCTCTCTCTGCTCTGCTCCTGCCATCTCTTCCTCCCCCCAGGCCTGCTTCCCTTCTCTCTCCCCCGCTTTCCCTCCTAATAAAGATCTCGGTAACTCTGGCAGTCATGGCCGTGGCTCATGACTTTTCTTCCACCAGCGCCGTTTACCTATCATTTGCTGCCGTTACTCGGATAGGAAATTCTGTGCACTCTGCGTCTGGGGCTAGCATTCAGAAGCCTATACTGAGGAACTGTGACTGCCCGCCACTACTGCCACCGCAGAGTACCACGTCAGGACTGTCCTCACTGCCATGACCGCCACCGCGTCTCCTCCCTCTACTACGCATGCGATTGGCGAGTTCCCCTGCTGTTTCAGCGACTGCAGTCTGAGCTATATTCCTTGTGCCAGACCTCCAGGGGGTCCTCGGCCTATGCTGGCCCCAACTCATTCTCTCTCTTGACGAGGTCAATGCTGTCAGACCCCTGGGGGATCCATGTGCTGCATATGCTCCCAGTCCTTACTCCTCTCTTGATGAAGGTGGGAGTAACTTGGGCTGATTCATAGATCCTTCTCCTACCTCAGGGACACCTGGGATTGGAGTCTGATCCTGGTTCGTTATTTTTTCTTTTTCCTCTCTCTTGGCTGCAGCCATGGGACATAGGGGTGGATACCAGGAAATTTGGCTGCACAACAGCTTCATGGGAATTATCTAACTTCTGCCAGCGAATAGGCAAATGAAAAGTTACCTTATCCCCAAGCTTTCTACCACAGCTCTGAAGTCCCTCTCCCTCCTCATTTCTGATTCTTTCTCTGTCATGTGCAACCACTTCTGCCTATCTGACTTCTGCTTTCTGCTCTCCGGTATTGGGTGGGCTTTAACTCACCCTAACTCCTCCCACTCGTTCTCAAGCTGCCGTGAGAGGCACAGACAGGTCTAAAATTGGGCTAGGATACATGCAAATAAGTTTACGATCAGTTCACATCCTGCCTCCTGGCGGGTCTTCCTAAAGCTGTCCTCAAGCCAGCAGACATCAAAAAAAAAAAAAAAAAAAAAATTCAAGACACGGAGGAAAATCGGTATGTTGTCCCCCAGACCTCCCTGACATAAGACTAAAACTTAAGCATCTGGAGAGCAAGGCTCCTGACCCCACAGGCGGAAGTTTCATCTGTGGCATTTAAGGTGTACCAGGGGAGAGATGACAAAGCCCGAGAACAGAATTGCCAAGTGCTGGCACACACTGGCTCCTGAAAGCCGTTGGGTCCCTGTTTTAAGTGCAGGGGAAAAAAGGCCATGTGGGCTAGTGCGTGCCCTGCCAGGCCATCAATTGAGCCTTGTTCAGAAGGCCACCTAGAAAGACAACCGGTCAGCTGACTGGACCAGGCACTAAGAGGCAGAGGGACAGACAAAGAGCTCCAGCAGACCTAGGCTTGGCCACAGGCTCATTCACAGGGAACCCAGAATGCAGCAGAGTCACTAACCCAGTCCTGGGAGTTTTGGGGTCCCATCTCTCCTTATTTCCCTGTTGTCAGGGTAGGGAGGACAGCCTTACCCACCTCACCAGATTTAATTGCACTTTCAGGGCTACTTAATGAGAAAGATTGTCCAGCTAAGGTAGGAGCTTTCACTTCATGCTCCCTCCATGTGCCTCACTCTAGACCTGTCAGAAGTGCTTCTCCTCCTCACGCACAGGGACACAGACAGGGCCCTGATCTCTGCCTTGTCCCTAATTCCAAAAAATGAGTTCTCATTCCACAAGCTTTTCTCTTCTCAGTTCCCTCTTCTAATTAACAGCTCAGCTAATGGTACAGGACCACCACAGAACTGGAGTCCAGAGATCATCAAGTAAGAAACTATAACAGCTAAAAGGTATTTGCACCCCCAGACCCAAAAGTGTCTGGGCTCTATAAAAACAGACTTTAATATAACCATCTATTACTGCTAAATGCTTTCAACAATTGGTCACCTGTCTCCTGGATGCTAAACTAGTAAAGGAAACAGGAGCCTTAAATGATCTGTCTCTGATAAAGCTTAACATGTTCCAATCTCTCTGTCTCCCTCATTAACACTAACCAATATAAGCAGAGTACAATGGTCACTAATTTTCTCATGGCTGCTTCATAACATGTTCAAAATTTTTCCCAAGCTCCAAAAACCATCTTAAATCCATCTGGACAGGTCAGATCTACTTCAGGCCTTTTTCTGTCTCACCAGCATCCTGTCAGACACAAAAGTGGCCAGAGTACCAAGCCAAGAGGGATGGACGGCTCCAGGGCAGCAGGACAGCCCATCATCCCAGGACGCCTGTCTGCATCAAAAGGCCCCCTTCCCTACCCCCACTAAGAGCCAACCAACACCCACCAAGTCAGCTGGAAAGAGTTTTTTCTGAAAGAAACGATGCCTCTATTCCTATTCACTCGCTTTTTATAATAAGCAAAAAGTCTAGAATGTAAGATCCTGTACATGCGCAGCTCGGGGTCTTGCGTCTTATGTCATCAGGGGGCGCTGGCGACCATGTAGCCACCTTAAGAAGCCAGATGCAGACCCCACGTGCTCTCTGTACCCTGCTCTCTGCTCTGCTCCCCCCATCTCTTCCTCCCCCGGGCCTGACTCCCCTTTCTCTAACCCCCCTTTCCCTCCTAATGAAGCTCTCTGGAACTCTGGCAGTCATGGCCGTGGCTCGTGACTTTTCCACTGGTAACCAGCGCTGTTTACCTATCACTTGGGCTGGGCGGGACCAGAGAAACTTATGGTTATAATGCACGCCTTTAATCCCAGCACTCAGGAGGCAGAGGAAGGTGAATCTTTGAGTTCGAGGCCAGCCTGGTCTACAGAGTGAGTTCCAGGACAGGCTCCAATGCTACAGAGAAACCCTGTCTCGGGGGGGGGGGGGGGGGGGGGGGGGGGACACGACAAAAGGTGGGGGGAGGGGGAGAAAAAATCCCATATTACAAAGTTTTGCAACAAGACATTCAAATCAAAATTTAGAAAAATTCTGCTTTAGCATTTCTTTTAATGATCACTGGTATTTTGACTACACATATGTCTGCATGAGGATGTCAGATCCCCTGGAACTGAAGTTACAGACAGGTGTGAGCTGCCACGTGGGTGCTAGGAATTGAACCCTATTCCTCTGAAAGAGCAGCCAGTGCTCTTAACTGCTGAGCCGCCCCTCCAGCCCCTGCTTTAGCATTTTTAAGTTTTTTTTTTTTTTTTTTTTTTTTTTTTTTTTTGCTATGAGTGTTTAGTTTTCTTTTTGCCTAAGTAGAGAAGAAAAAAACGCCTCCTGAGGACACTTCCTCCTAAGCCCTTCACTCTTTCAGAAGAATGCTCTGGTTCACAACCATCCCATCCTTCAGTAGAAGCCTACTTTTAGATGTTGCCCAGTTATTATAAGCCAAGATCTCAAAACCTTAAAAATCTGCTTAACTGACACGACAATGAGGCAGACACCTTTTAAATCCCTACAAAGTCCAACAAAACGGCTTCCTAATATAAAGAAACAGAAGACATACCCTTTTCTAGAGAGCAAGAACAAGGCTACACTTTAAAGCTGTCACCATGTGCTTTATTAGCCATGGTTACTTAAGCCACCCTTAACCATTCTTGACCATGACAAGGATTTTACACACTCATTTTATGATTAGAGTCTCACTCACTGCTTCACTGTGATGCTGACATTGCTTTTGTGATGCTCAACACTGAGCACAAGCTCCTCCCCCACTTGCACCCGGATGGGATTTTCCAGGACCACGGCAGCTTGTTTCCAGTGGGAGGCTTCGCCTGAGGTGTCCAGCCTGACTTCATCATCAAGGCACAAATGAAACCAAAATGGGACAGCGGTCACTTGTCCAGATCTACAAATGCGAACCTATGGAAATTGAATTTTGAACATTTCATCAAGGCAAGTAATTCTTCTTTCTCTTTTTAATCAATTTGAATACAAAAACTAAAAATATATTGAACCACCCATTCAAACTTAATAACTAAGTCTTAGACACTAATATTTATTCAGTCTATTTTTGCATGTTGTCTAGAAAAGAAGATTGAAATCTTCAAAGGAAATGATAGACCATGTAAATATGATGTCCCTCACTTAAGGTAAATTGTTCTGAATGTGACAAGTTTGATCATTTGTGGTTGTCCTTACCTTTACTTCTCTATTGGAAGTGTTCAAATACGGAGTCATTAGATCTAATCTTAAGAGTTCCACTGGCTGGCTTAAAGGGATACATGGCAATGAAGATAAATCCAGAAATACACGGATAGGCACCTGAAGAGAGAGTACACGCTGACTTTTATCATCTGTAGTCGGGTCTGCTCTATCTGCAATTAGCTCTTTGTGACAGGACGCTTTTCATTGTCTCGTTTATTTTACGCATCAACCTAAGGCATGAATCCTCACGATCAGTTTTTCAGGATGAATGAACAAGCCAAGGTTTAGGCAGGCTCAACACTTTGCTACGGTTTGTTACCTACAGGCCTTTCTCCTCAATGAAAACACACTAAACTTTTAAGTGGCCAAACAATTCCAGAAACATTTGTACCTAGAATATGTGAGCTAATAAGCAAATAATCTAATGGTAAATATTAATGTGTTTGATCAGAGGCGCCAAATTTAGCCAAACATGGTGGGTGGTACACGCCCTTAATCTCAGCACTTGGAATATTTAGCCAGGCATGGTGGGTGGCACACGCCCTTAATCCCAGCACTTGGAAGACAAGAGGCAAGGGCATCTTATGAGAGGCCAGCCTGGCCTACACAGTGAATTCAGACCAGCCAAGGCTACACAGTGAGATGCTGCCTCAAACAAACAAACAAACAGCAAGGGATGGGCACAAACTCATCTGAACAGATTCATCCTGAAAAACAAAGTCTTCCCTACAAGGCAATGGTTCCCAAAACCTCGGCTGCAAGTTCAAGTTACTCAGGGTATCCCCATGCCAACCTGTGGTCAGGTCCAGGATTCTGAAGCTCTCAGAGTCCCCACACACAGCAATCTCAGTTGCAATCCATCTCTGTCTTTCACACTTTCAAGCCCCTTCCTTGTTTGAAATGAAAAAGACAGTGCTGCTTAGAAGCTACTCTCCTGTCTGTGAAAGGTGGCGACTGGCCCTCAATCATCCAACCTTTCATAAAAGCTCAGGGGCCCACACCACTTCCAGTCTTCTGTCTGCCTTTACTCCTGTTTGTGCCAGTGACTGAGAACCCTACACTCCCACTTCTCATTGCCTGGGACTGAAATCCTCTCGCTCTACTCACACTGTCCCTCCCCACTTGTGTTTCTCAGCCTAACCTCCTGGCTTTCCTTGTCACCATCAATCATCTTTCAAGCTCTCTAAATTCAGGTCTCAACCCTTTTTTGCGCACACCCCTCATGTTCCATCTAGTCTTGTAGTTTTAAATACCATCTATATGATACTGTTAAATTTACAAACTAGGCCTAGAGTTTCATTGATTCCTTATCCACCCCTCCTACACACAAATACAGCTGATCACTCTGATGTTTCCCACATCAATAAATAGTCACTCTCATTCCTGTTCCTCTCTCACACCCCACACCCAATCTCTAAAACTCCAACTTTTAAAATACATGCAGGAGCACACATGGCTCCGGCTGCAGTGGAAGCCACCACCTCTCATGGCGTCACCACTGTGACTGTGTCTTCAGCTGGCTTTGTTCTATTCCTAACAGTCACCAAAACCATCTTTACAAAGCAAGTTGTTTCATCATGCCACTGTTCAATCCTCTCTGATGCCACCTAAGGATCCTTATTTGCCCCATGGGATATGACCCACACCACATTGGGGATTTTCTTAGTGGACAGTTATCTAGGGTTTGGAGTCATTTAATGCCATTTCTGGAATCAGAAATAGCATCCTAGATCCTGAGGGCAAGCAAGGTATCTGACTGTATGGTGTGAATGCTGGAGTTGGAGGTCTTGTGCTCTCTCTTTCTGCATTGGAACAGCTGGTTGAATGAATCTGTGGTCCCCATATAGGCCGTGTTCCTGAAGGAAAGCAAGGATGGGTCTCAGGCTGGCACTTCTAGGACTCAGCAGCTCCAAAAATGTCTGGTGAAAGGTCTTCTGCCCTTTAATCTTGCACTCCAAGGCAGAGACTATGGGTATACTGCTTTTCTAAGGGGCTGACAACACTGACTGGTATGCCCATTGTAAGTTCCCACCATGTTTTGTTCTTGATGACCTGAGTCAGTCTACCACCCTCCTTCACAGTCAGAGACAACAGAAGAAGTTGAAAGGTTTCCTATCCATAGCAGGCAAACGCGTGGTGCACACTGCCTTCTCTTGAAGACTATTAATTTCCTGAAGAGCTCACACAGTTTACGTTGTCTTCTCATTGGCTGTAGTAGAATAGTATTTTGCACGGATGTGGATTCTTTCTTGGGATCTCCCTGCCTGGCTATCTATGTGAGTGGCTAGAGTTAACTTGATGTCACCAGGCCCATCATCTCTGGGTTGGCTGTAGACCTGCTGAATCGTTGGTCATGGCTCCACCTGGAGGATACGGGGACCCCTCAAGGTTGATCATGCTGGCCATACTCTTAATCTCTTGTCCATGGAGAGGTCCTGCTCCCATCATACACCTCTGATTTATATTGAGATACCTGTTTTGCATAGAATTGGCAGCAATGTACATGGTGACAGCAGATTCTTGAGTTTTCTAGTTCAAGCCTCTTATGAAGGAAACATTCCTGACCCAATCTAATGTGGTCTATTGGACATATTAGGACTATAAGGCCTGTCACTGATAGAAGCATGACTCATTCTCCCTGGAGGGAGTGTACCATCAGGGAGGATTTGAGGCCACCTGTGTACTTGACTTGCAGCACCCACGGGGCTCCTGCTTCTTTCTAGCATGCCTGCACTGGCCTGCCTGGGTTGGCCTCCATAGCTGCCCGTGAGTTCTGTATGTGTACACTCTTGCACACGTGCACACACGTCACACAGGATAAAGGTGGAGATTTGAGGTAGATACTGGGTGTCTTCTTCACTTGCTCTTCCACCTTATTTTTAATAGAAGGCTAATGGAGGTGGAAATTTTCTGCCACGACAGACTTTCTCTCAAACTGTGAGCCAAAGCAAACCCGTACTCTAGGTGCTGTTGTCAGGAACTTTAAAGTTGTAGAACTAGTAACTGAGACATGCATGTAATCTGGGAATGGTGACGTGTGTCTATAATTCTAGCCCTTGGAAGACAAAAACAGGTTATCCTTGGCATTGAGGCCCTCTGGGCTACATTAGACCCTATCTAAAAAAAAAAAAACAAAAAACAAAAATAATAAAACAGTGCATGTAGTACATGCTAAATAAACATTTGTTGAATAGTTTTTTTAAAAAACAATTTTGCTTTTTATTTTGAAGACAGGGTCTCCTGTAACCCAAATTGACCTTAAACTTTTATTTATATGTATGCAGTGTTCTGCCTGCATGCATACCTGCACACCAGACGAGGGCACCAGATCTCATTACAGATGGTTGTGAGCCACCATGTGGTTGCTGGGACTTGAACTCAGGACCTCTGGAAGAGCAGTCAGTGCTCTTAACCTCTGAGCCATCTCTCCAGCCCTACTGAATAGTTTTTAATGTACTATATTCTTTGAACAACCTCTGATTTTGCTTCATTGATTCACAGTTATCTAGTAGTCGACCAATGTAAGAGAGGAGACAATCATTGTAAGAGAGGAGAAATGGGTAAACAGACTAAAACATAAAACTGCCAAGACAGCCCAGTGGTGGTGCATACCTTTAACAGCTTGGCTGAACAGTTCTCTAGACACTTACCTGAAACTGGTTAATAAAAGGTGCTATGTTTAACCCGAGAGTATGCTCTGTTCCTTGAACAGCACTCTCTTCTACCAGTGTCTGTGACTCCACGAGCATCCCGAACATTAACACATACTGGGGGAAGATCTTGCCTCCAGACTGCAACAAACACCTGAAGAAAGGCAAATCATTGGAAAGCCTTTTTATTCCCTACATTTTATAGATAATAAGAATTATGAATTAGTGAAGGGTAGACGATATATAGTCTAGTGGACTTTGTCATTATTGACTAGTAGTTCAAAATTTAAACCACTAGAAATAATTGCTCAAGAAGTCAAATTTGGACCGACTAAGGTAAGTCCTTAGTTACAGACCACAATCATTAATAGGGAACCATCCCTATGTGGAAATCAAAATGATACAAAATCCAGCACTTTTAGCCAGGCAGTGGTGGTGCACGCCTTTATTCCTAGCCCTGAGGAGACAGAGGCAGGTGGATCTCCGAGTTCAAGGCCAGCCTGGTCTACAGAGTGAGTTCCAGGACAGCCAGGGCTACACAGAGAAACCCTGTCTTGAAAGACCAATAAACAAACAAATAAATGAACAGGCTACCATCAGAACACAAGTGCATTAAAAATACTTCAGACTGCTTTATGACTGTGTATAAGATGTATATGAAACATGAATAAACTTCATGTGTGGACTTAAGCTTGCTCCACAAGCTATCATTATGTGTGAAGAGCTGCCACACTGAAGGTCTCACATATCACACTACACATGGCTTAGTACATGAGGGCACAGAGTAAATGTTAAGTTCTCTGAACTATTCCGTAACTTCTCTGAAATGATTCACTGTAAAGGATTAAGCTCTCCAAACGCAAATATATACGTAAACTGAAAGAAATATCGTAGAAAGGAAAGAGACAAAAGTTAACAAAACCCTTTCTCATGCAACTGCACTTAACGCTGCCACACTCCATTCTCCCTTGAACCCCACAAAAACGGTATTAACAAACAATACTGCCTATGGTTATTTAAAAGTATCTTGTTAAGTACGCTGGACCTGGATAGAGAATTATGAGCAAAAAATAAGTGACTGGTGGGAAACTGGCATTTCCCGCGTGTGGGGTACCAGGTGCTCCTGTACCAAGGATTTGGAAGCTATGAAGGCAAAATCGTTCTGACATGAGTTAGGGGCACTTAAACTATGGTGGAGTCTTGTTTCTCATACCTGAGCCATAAAGAGGAAGCAGAAACATAAGACAATGTAGGGTCTTAAGACCAGTGAGACTATTCCTCATCTGTCACATTTTCAAATATCGAACCTTGTCTTTACTGAGTATTCTGGGATGTCTTCTACTTGAACTTCCAGAGCAGGGACTACACAGAGGTGGGCACTGATCACCTCAAGTATCTTTCACAGTAAATTTTACACCCAAGTTAAAGATGTAAGGATCTACTTAAAAAATACAGACTAGCCATCTGGCCAGTTTGTACATATCTAAAAAATAATGTGCATAAATGTTTCAATGTTTGCTATGTAAGTTACCTAAATAGATCATTAAGATTTAGGGGCTCAGGGGACAATTCAGTGGATAAGGAACCTGCAGTTCAAATGTGAGGACCAGAGCTTAGATCCATAGCACCCAGGTAAAACGGCAGCCTGCCCGTAATCCTAGCACTCACTGACGGGGTAGAGATGGGATCCTCGGTGTAAGTTCAAAACCTAGACTAGCCAAATAAGCAAGTTGTGGGTTTAGTAAGACACCCTACCTCAACAAAGTGAAGAGCAAATGAGGAAGACACTCAACACTTATAGACAGATACAGAAGAGCAGGGTAGCATCCATTCCTAGGTTGAAGCATGTACACAGGACTTACTCTAGGCTCATACGACCATGTGCTTACACAGTGAGTAGAGGGGCAGCCTAGTTCAAGGTCATGACTTACCCTTACCCGTCTGATTGCCCTTACATCTAGGTGCCTGTGACTTGTTGATCCTATGCTCTCCTATGCCGTTCCTGACCACTTGTTTGGGTTTGAGGGAAAGTCAGCAGTCCATCTCAATTAGTGACATAACTATCTCTTACAAAGTGACACAGCCCTCAACAAAACCCTTCCTATCAGCTTGTGAGCTGCTAACGAGAGGCTTATTTACTTGTTAATTTTCTGCCCATTTGCTTTAACTTTCCAAAACTTGATGCTCAAGGAAAGTTCTAAGAATGATATAACAGTGCACACTACCTTGTTATTTAACTGTTCTTAAATGACTCATTTAGCAGGCGCTTGACATCGTATTAAGTTTCTCTCTGAAGTGCCGGGATAACAGAGCAAGCTGGCCACCACTGAACCATACCTCCAGCCCATAAACTTGACTTTTACCTTAACAAGTCCTTTCCCTTATTTATTAAAACTTCTCACACCAAACTGGAAGGAGGGCTTCTCCAAAACACAGCCAATTAATTAATTCTCCAACGTCAGCTGAGTATCTTAGGATTCCAGTCCATTCTAACACTATCTACCCATATCATACAAGTGAAAGGGTTCAGTTCCACCTGGCTGCCCATTTCAGATGCCAATCCTAAATCCCACACCCAGTGATATACATGTGGTATTCACAATTCCCTCTTTGAGGGAAGCATCTCATAATTTGCTAATGTGACTCACAGAACTAAAAACAAACAAACAAACAAAAAAACCTATTACCTCTATGTACTGGCTCACTACAAAGGATAAAACTCAGAAATGGGAAGCTGGAGAGATGGTTCAGCTGTTAGGAGCATTTGCTGCTCTTGCAGAGGACCCGAACTCAATTCCCAGCACCCATGTGGTGGTTCACAACCATCTGTTAACTTCGGTTCCAGGGGATCCAATGTCATCTTCTGATCTCTCCAGGCACCAGGCACACATGTGGTACACATACATACATGCAGGCAAAACACACTTAAAATAAACACATCTAAAAAAATTTGAAAGACACTGGGCGGCAGTGGCACACGCCTTTAAACCCAGTACTCGGGAGGCAGAGCCAGGTGGATCTCTGTGAGTTCAAGGCCAGCCTAATCTACAGAGTGAGATCCAGGACAGGCACCAAAGCTACACAGAGAAACCCTGTCTCGGAAAAATAAACAAACAAACAAAAATTGAAAGACAGACAGACCCACTCAGAAACGGCCGACAGGAGACACGCGCGGGCAAAGGTGACTGACACTAACTCTGTATTTGATCTCCTCTTGGCTTTGGTGCTGCTGCTCTCTTGGTTTTTTGGTACAAAGCTCCTAAACACGGAGTCTTCTCACAGTCAAGGGAACAGGAAAGTATCTTCTGTATACCAAGGCCACGCCAGGGGCTAGGGACTCCTGGAGTCTCGGGTTTGTTCTTAGGAAGGAGGAGGAGGAGTGGCTACAGGGTCGGCCTTGACTCTCTCACTTCCCTGCCTGGCCTCAAAGCCAGGCTGAATCATCACTAATACCCAGTGATGCCCATATACACATGGAGCCCTCAAAACCCACAGGAACAGCGCTGACAGCCTCTGTGCAGCTCAGCATGTCCAGGAAGACCATGGACACTCTGCACCTTCCATGGGCCGCACCCTCTGCAGCTCTCCCGGTTCCTCATCTGCACCCTCTAGAATAAGTTAATCTAAGCCAACATTTTCCTAAGTCCTAGGAGCTGCTACAGCAAATTCATCCAAATCTGAAGAGGGTTTTATAAACTGAGGGGACCTTCAATTTGTACCTGGTGGTTTAGAAATACAGATGACAACCTACAAGATGCACCTGACTTCTGAAGTTGTGGCTGTCCTGTAGGTTCTGCCTACCTCCAGAGAACAGGACCAGAACTGAACAGAACTAAACAACACCCAGTTAGTGTCTGCTGGGGAACTGCTTGGTACAGTGTAGGGTAAGTGCCTGCATAGCTGTCATCAGGAGTACCAGAGCAAAAGATGGGTGAGAGGAAGAAATAGCTCCTTATGGGAGAGGGACACACAGAGCTCCCCAAGGTCTTAGTCACTGGTCATTAACTCCATTTCAGAAGAGGAAAATCTAACCTGGCAACTAGTCTCTACCCCAGACCTGTCAGAAGCCCTCAGCAGAACAAACTCCTATGTCAGGAACAGTTAGACAGAAAGACAATCATCTCACCCCTATCACCCACAAAACTAAAAACAAAACAAAACAAAAAAAAAGTGACTTTTGAACCCAAAATCCCCCATTCAATTTTATGGTTTTTGTTTTACCTGGATATTGCAGCTTTTTCCATTATTTCCTGCTGAATGAGCCCAGATGGCTCAATGACATCTAATATAATTATGCTCCACAATTTGTCTGATTTGGGCCTTTGCAACACAGCAGCTTCATCCTCTATATGTCTCAGCCAAAACTCAAGTGTTTCCTTAGGGAAGTGATTGGCTTCAGATATGAGGTCCAAAGTGACACAATGCTGGTCTTTCTCCACAGAACTATAGGGCTTAACCTCACCAAGTGTTCCAGCAATTATAGGCAAAAGAGAGAAGCCTTCAGACACATCCAACACATAGAAAGGGTCAGAGGTGCTCGGCGCAATTGAGCTCTGTCCACTTCCAGAGTTCATCTCAGTATCCTGACCAGGAGGATCCACAGGCTGCCACAGCTTCTCTGGGGCCAGTGAAGACAACACCTTCCTCATCGCCATCTTAAAGCCTTCATGATATGGAATATTATTGAGCAAAGCAATCTCTGTAGGTTCTAACACACAGGTCTGCTCCAGAGCATCTGCTCTACTGGTCTGAAGGTTAGCTAGAGCACTGCAGAGCTCAGCCTCATTCCCTAGAGAGAGCAAGTCTTCACTCTTGGTAAAATTTTTTATAACTTCCATTTCATGTTCCAAATTCAGAATATTGATGCTCTGGATTCTCAGGTAACAGTCCTGACAAGATGCTTCCATTGTCACATGGTCCCCAGGCTTTATCCAGTAGTCTGCATTAGTAAGAAAGAAAAATATACATAACTGATTGTCTTAGTCAGGGGTTCTATTGCTGTATGTAATAAACACCATGATCAACAGCAAGTTTGGGAAGAAAGCATTTATTTGGCTTGCACTTCCACATTATAGTCCATAATTGAAGGAAGTCAGGGCAGGAACCTGGAGACAGGAACTGATGCAGAGGCCATGGAGGGGTGCTGCTTAACCGCTTACTCTCCATGGCTTGCTCAACTTCCTTTCTATGGAACCTAGAACCACCAGCCCGGGGTAGCCCCACCCACAATGGACTGGGCCCTCCCCCATCAATTACTAATTATAAAAATGCCCTACAGGCTCACCTATAGCTCCATCTTATGGAGGCGTCATTTTCTTATTTGAGGGTCCCTCCTCTCAGATGACTTTAGCTTATGTGACGTTGACATAAAACACAACTGTCCCCTTGTCAACTTAAGCTCTGACCAGGTCCACTCCATGGCTGCTGCTGTTCTTGGCAGTCATCCCATGATACTGGCATCTCCAAAGTGCTAGGGTCCCTTGCTGCAACTGAACCGTACCTCAAACTTGCCCTGTGGCTAAAGTTGACCTGGATCTCCTGAATTTCCTCCCTCTACCTCCTACGTATTGGGATGACAGACATGTACTACAAAGCCCAGCTTCTTAGTTTTTCTTTGTTTTTACTATGATCAGTAGATGTACTGCCAAACTGAGGAAAACATGGAGATAGAAAGAGGATTTGTCTATAAGCAAAGATAGATGAAATTCGGGGATCAATATCTAGCCTCATTAAATAGACATTCTTAAAGAGACATTCTTTTCTCTAAAGGTAATTTCCAAAAGAACGAAAGCATTCGGCACAATGGTATCTGCTAGTCGTCAAGCATTTGGAAATTTGCATGTTTAGGAAGGTCCCAGTTTAAGGGAAGGCTAAGTCCTGCAGTAAGGACTGTACTGTGCTCCTTTCTGAGTTTCCACGTGGTCCACTGCTAAGCCACCATGTGTAACTGTCACTCGTCTCTTCAGCCCTAGAGCCAGATGAAAACACAGTCTCGGCCGGGCGGTGGTGGCGCACGCCTTTAATCCCAGCACTTGGGAGGCAGAGCCAGGCGGATCTCTGTGAGTTCGAGACCAGCCTGGGCTACCAAGTGAGTTCTAGGAAAGGCGCCAAGCTACACAGAGAAACCCTGTCTCGAAAAACCAAAAAAAAAAAAAAAAAAAAAAAAAAGAAAACACAGTCTGCACCCAGGTGTGGTGGCACACGCCCATAGCACCAGATAGTGGGGAGCTGAGGCAGAAAGATTGCTTGAGCCCATAAATTTTGCTTCATAACCTAACTACCTGAGTTCAATGCCTGAAATCAAGTGAGTAGAAGCAAACAGTTGTGCTCTGACACATGCATGCAAGTGCACTCCCCCAAAACACCTCAAACATCACAGACAGACAACAAACAATTAGAAATGAAAAACCAAAGTCGTTATTTTTATGTTTAAGCATTTAAATAGCCTTTCCCTGAGGATCCTTGAAGGGATATTTAAATTACCATAAGAAAATGAAAATAAATGAATACAGATTTTAAAATGTAACTTGTTGAGAGCCAAGCTTTTTCACTTCCATGTCTTATCATTCCTCCACCACTCTAGGGTAGACAGCATTGTCCTAGTTTCAGATATGACCCAATAAAAGAGCTTTGCCAGCAAAGTCATTCAACAGGAGAACCAAGATCTGTATCCAAATCTTCAGACTACAGATTTCACAGTTCACTGGCCTGGTGAATCAGATCCCTGATAGAGACTACACAGACGTGTACTTCCTTACTGCTTTAAATGGGTAGTTTTCTATGTATCTAACTGCAAAAAACATGGAAACCCATCAAACTGCTATAAACCGTTTTCTTTTCCTAAATAGAAAATACCTTTAATATAAACTTTCCCCAGGGAAGTTTGCAGATCTCCAAATTCTCTTAA